AAAGCATACAAGAGTCAAAACAGATATAAGATCCCTTGAAAGATTATATAAATGAAACTTGCATGTTTTGGATACTTACTAAAACAATATATGAAAGTAATGAGAAAGTGGCCACTTTCATGAGTAAATCACGTAAGCCTTGTATGATCCTCTATATGAAGCAAGCTAAAGCTGATGCAAGTCTTTTATAAGTTTTTCCTAGTTGTTTTCCATATGGGAAGCCAGGTACTGTCACACTAAACACACCACTGATCTTGAACAGCAAAGTAAAACTGTGGTTAAATCAATTCTTCCTAAACTATCGGATTTTCTTTCTTTTAACCAGCCGTCTTTTTCTTTGTTTTCTTTCCGTTTTTTTGTTTTGGTTTTTTTTGCTGGCATTTCTTTTTGAGTCATTAAACAAATTCAACCTGTGCTACCATTACTGCATTACACTCTGAGTATACTATTTTTATAATAACACCAAAAAAGGGGTCATTAATGCTGACAGTTATCAGTCACTGTGCTTTTCCTCTCATCTCTGCAAAGTGTTTTAGTGTTTTCCAGCTCGTTTTCTGAACTTTGAAACCCTCGACATTACTCTCTTGGTTCGCTTTCACAAATCTAATGAGCTTCATTTCCACGTTGCAGTTTGCAACTTTTGGCTGGCAATCAGCTCTAATCAACCATCTGTACGTTACCTGAAGCTCACTGAAGAACACAAACTGTCATTTGGACATAAATTGGGCATTTGCAAGCTAGAGAAGCAGATATTTCCCTAAGGACTGATTGAAGACAAAATTGCATGTTAAAATATTTAGAAAAACAAATTCTCAGTGTTTAAAGTTAATTAAACATTGAGTATCCTCAGCAACCTTGCTTTTATATGAACATAACCAACATACAAACATTTGGCAGCCAGTTGAGTCGAGTCATGTGGCAGATGAGTTGCTCATTGGCATAGACTCACTCACATTGAGTGCTGCATGCTGACAATCTGTCTGCATTTAAAAATTCGATTTTTCTGCCTCCCGTCAGGTAACCAGTGCAAAGGCCTTGCAATCTAAAGCAGTCACAACTATTTGCAATCAGTTGCAGAATGCAAAAAATTTCAGTGCAATTTCACGTAGTTGCAAGGCGTCCATCCTGTGTGTGGCCTAGACCAGGGCTGTCCAACTCCAGGCCAGATATCACCCTGGGTCAAATAATTAGTTTGTTGCCGGGTCCCTGGAGAATTTCAAGACATGTTGATGCTTCAGGTTTGTTGCACTGTGAGTGAAATCTCGTGTCCACTTTGTAATCTACAGTAAATCAAGACCTCGTGTGCTTGCCTTCTGATGGTAATGACGTTGTTTCATTAGCGAAATAATCCAGCTGTTGGCTTTTTATCGCATGATACAAATGTAGCACATCTGCTTCGTATTGTCTAGAAGTCTGTAAGATTTCTTTTAGTAAAAAGTGGCCTTGGGACTTTTGTTGGGGGAAAAACACATCTTCATCCTCCCACTCTGGTTTCCTCTTGACTCACTGTTGAATTAACATGTCGATGTAGATGAACAGCTCATGTCTAGAAAACATACAAATAAGCGGATACTTCGTTGGTGAGCTCAACCAGCCTGTCGGCCCAGAGTCCCTTTTGTTGTTTTAACAGTCAGTGATTTAAGGCAGAGTATGATGTCATCCTTCTCATCACGGTTATACTAAATTGCTCCTCGTTTCGTGTTAGTGCTATTAGTAATGGTGTGTAACAGAGGTTATGTTGATGTAATATGTTAGAGCTCTGCAGTGAATTTGCCTCAGAGTTTCTGAGCTTTTCAGTCTTTCTGCCTTCATCTTGCTGTTCCTCACACTCTTTCTGCTTTAATGAGCCCGTCTGCTGGACTGATCTGAGCCCAGATCTGACCCAGACAGATTTTCTTTTCAATTACTGTTTGTGAGGCAATAATTTGGCAGTGGACATTTTTTTTCTTGTCTTTTTTAGCAAACAAAGTTGTGTTTTTCCAAAAGCGACAATAATAATTTGTTTGGAATGAGCAGGGAAAAAACCTCTTAGTAGGGCTGGCTTATCTGAAAAAGCAAAGACTTCTAGCTTCAGAAATGTTTGTGTGTGGTTTGACACAAATACTTTATTTAGGTTTTTAGGAGCGTTCTGAAATGCCGGACCTGTCTGCAGTGATATCCCAGGCATCTGCTGCAATGTTGCTTTAGTGCTCAGTGCAGATGACTCCTGTTAACAAAGGACGACTTTATGGACAAGGGCGCATGTTAACATAGATTAGCAGCGCGCAGCCACTGAACTGGTTAATCAGAGTGTGCGTATGTCTAAGCTCAAACAGCCTCTTTCTTTATCCTCAAACCTCGAAGCAGTCCAGTGAATTGTGGAGCTAAAATGGCCCCGTGGTTCACACGATGCAGGCCAAACCACAGCTATTTAATGGCTGTTTTTGAATTTTAAAACCGAAATAACTAATTTTTCAAAACATCTTTTCTCTACCCTCTGCACAAGTTAGTCGCTCATAACAAGGAGGGTGGACGACTACAGTGCATCACATTGTTTTAGACAAACACTGCACAAATGGTTTGACTTTATTAAGACTCATTGAAAATTACATCTGTAATGAGAGAATTTTAAATGAATGCTCCGAAAAGTATGAATGTTTTGAAAGCGATTGAACCACAGTGGGTGGAATAACCATAACCAGACACTGAAGGCATTTGTATACAATCATAAAAGCCCTTCTTGGAAGTTAAAAAGTCTGTTTATGGTGTCTACTCTAATTTTATTTCAAAAATATGTACTTACAAAAAGAACAAATAGTTTAAAAATGTTGATTTCAAACATAAGTAGCAAGCTTGTTAGCCAAATACGCTAATGACTGATTTTTCCATCCAAGACCAAAAAGAACATAATTAACCAGCTTGATTACATACATACCAAAGCTGCATACCAGTTCACACGCTGGAAAGTAAGGCTGTACTCGGAGTCCTTCTGTGTTGTTTCCTCTGCTGCAGCAAGACTCAAACATCTTGCTTTTGATAAAATTCTAAATTTGATCTTGCCTAGCGTTTTAGCTAAAACCTTTTCTGTCTCTGGGGTCTCATTTTGCTCTTTTGCAGCCTAGTGCATATGTACAATAATGTTTTGGCTCACAGGTTGGCCTCTAGACTTTATGAATGCCAAGAGTCATAAATTCTATGCACTGGGGTGAGTTTGCAAATATTAAAACTCAGTGGTAGCTAGACATGTGCTGTCAACAGCTCTTTAAAAATCTATAGCACAAGTGCTGTTTGGACAATACCCAAATGATCACCTGGAAATCTGACAACAGCTCTTTAATTCATGTGTTTCCTGATTTTAGGTTTTAACACCTGAACCACCCACATACCAAATCCCCTTTAGACTCACACTGTTAATGGAAAGTTAGGATGGATTTTAAATGCCTCGTATTAGTTACATTAAAATGAAGAAGGTATAAAAACAAAGCACTCACTGTGAACAGGGCCACATAACTGCCTACAATAAAATAAACACATTCTTATAAACTCATTTTCTAAAAGTAGAACTGTGGAATTGTGTCACACCATCTGCCTTCTCATCCACCATCCACTCAGCTATACCCCACTCTCTGCCTTAGAGTCAAGATGTTTGTATTCAGTGGACTCAAACATTCACTAAATTAGGAATTTACCAATTTGAGGAAACCTCATAAAACAGGAGATGTTAAGGTTTTATTTTCACTGTGAGACTGACACTTATCTGAGCACTCAAAGCACTTTACACAACTTGCCTCATTCACACAAGAGCAACATGGGGTCAGCATCTTGCCCAATGATATTTGGCATGGAGACTGGAGAAGACTGGGATCAAACCACCAACCTTCCAGTTAGTAGGTGACCTGAGCTACCATGTGAGCGACAGGCAGTCTCAAAAGGTCAAACACATTGCAATTTAAGAAAACACCAGCAAATAGAAACACACAAGGAAAAATGTTACAAGTGTTACTCGCAGTAATGACAGGGAACAGCTGCAGAAGTGACACGATAACAGCTAAACAGCTAACAAACATGCACCTACCGTGTTATATAAATCATGTGATTAAAACATACACTACCCTGCACCATGTTAGTCCTTCGCATGTTTAGTTTTCTGTCACTTCCACAGCTGCTCCATCCTGTTATTGTCTCCCCCAAAAACACTGCTGTGTTGTTTTTGTGTCCTTTGCAATGCTTTTCTATATTCTGGTGTTTTGTTACTGTAGTTTTATATATCAGGACACTTTTTTTTTTTAAAAACAAAAAAACTTCATTGACCCTCACATGAACACCAGTGTATGACATATTGCACCATTATTACTGAGTCGACAATCAAAAATGAAGCAGCGTGTGACCCTTACTGCTTCTGAGGTAAAGCAGCCGCCAGCTGCTGCTGATCAAATAATCTGAAAACATCAATCCATCAGAGCACTCTTACACTTTGTCAACCAAGAATAATCATTTTCTAACAATTTACAGAGCGCTGAAGAAGCTGCAGTGAAAACGATACAGGATAATGATAACGAAGAATTTTCACTACAGTACAAACATTATGTACATTACTGAAGGTCGTGGGGAGACATGATGGCAACGTATAACCCTGCAAGAGTAATGTTGCATTAACCAGTGAGGATAAATGATTTTCAAAATGTTAGCTAAATTGACTAACTAACAATAAAATCAAAACAATTAAAAAAAAACCAACAGCAGCTAGAAATGAGAATGCATTGTTTGTTTACATCTTTGTGAAATCAGTGAGCTATTGTTTCAGAAGTCCTTCTCGTTGAGTTTGAATGGTAAATCGGCCACAGGTGTCATTGTAGCATGTGCCGTGTAAGTCCGCGGTGATTCGTAATTGCGCTGTGGATGGATCCGCTTTATTTGTTTTTGGTGCTTAAACCTCTGTACCCCCGCTGTGTCCCGTGCAATGTAATGTCGCTATAAATAGTGCTGAAGTCAATCTCTCTGTCTTCCTTTGTTTTCTCCAGGTCAGCCTACCAAACGACTCCAGCTGTGTTGAAGAGATTCTGCGGGTACGTTGCTTGGGTACACACACAAACACACACACACGCATGCACAGTAATTGCACTGATTATCAGCTGTTTTCTGTTTGTTCACAAGGAGCTTGGTCCCTCTCCAGAGTCTGATTTTGCAAAGGAAGGACAGGGAAAAGAAAGGGGACTACAAGGCAGGCAGGGAGAAGAGAAAGCAATCTGTTGGCTTAGGTCAATGATTACACAAGTCCTTTTATTTGGATGACATCATACAGACATCTTTTCCACAGACCTATCATCTCCTTTACCCGTTCTTTCTTCCTCCTTTCTAGCTGCATGTAATCAAAATCACACAGCAATACATTTTCCCACAGTTTCTCTCTCCTGTCTCTTCCTGGGAGTGATGTCAAAACAAAAATGTTTCCCTCGCTAATCTTCCCTCACTGCCAGTCAGAAGATTAGGACGGGGACCGTCTTTGACTTCTTTATGTCAAGTTACCGCTTTCACTTCTCGCCGTCTCTCCTCTCTTGCACTTGGTGCGCCCTCTCTTTCTCCCTCAGTGTCTGTCTTCCTCCCTCTTCATTCCTCTCTGTCATTCAGCCCCCTCCCTCTCCTCCCCCTCCACAAATCAATAGGCTGGTCAACAGGCTGTGTGACAGATAGGCTGCTGTGAGCTGCATGAAATGCCTTTGTCGATAATATTGGTGCTCTATTGAATTCAGTCTGTGGTTTTTAGCTGTGTCAAGTGGAAAGATCAAGGAGTTCAAAATGTGAGGTGAGGTGAATCGGAGCACGGGGCCTGCACTTCATTTTTCTCTCTCTGTAATGACACGGCTACAAGATGTTTGTCACAGGAACATTGTTGTCGTGGATGTTTGCACAATTCAAGGTAACGGTGTGCATCAGAGATATTGTACAGTAAAGTCAACCCTTCTGAGGGGTATTGACTTTTTACAGTGTTTGAACCACTGGAGCACCAAGCTCTATGATATCCATGCTAATGTTTTAGCTTATGGTAAGTTCACTATAAACAAGAAGCATTATCTAAAGATACATCATTAATGAGCCAAAAGGGGACTGTAGGCAAACCAGCTGTTCCTGCCATTAAAATGTTTAAATGAATTGTATAATGATTGCATTTGTCCCTAACCATCGGGAACCCTCACCTTAACTTTTATCAGTGGAAAAAAGTGCTAATGTGTTTATATTATGCTAACATAGCTGTGTAGCTAGCCACCACGTAGCATAGTATGGGGCGATCGTGGCTCAAGAGTTGGGAGTTCGCCTTGTAATCGGAAGGTTGCCGGTTCGAGCCCCGGCTTGGACAGTCTCGGTTGTTGTGTCCTTGGGCAAGACACTTCACCCATTGCCTACTGGTAGTGGTCAGAGGGCCCGGTGGCGCCAGTGTCCGGCAGCCTCGCCTCTGTCAGTGCGCCCCAGGGTGGCTGTGGCTACAATGTAGCTTGCCATCACCAGTGTGTGAATGTGTGTGTGAATGGGTGGATGACTGGATATGTAAAGCGCTTTGGGGTCCTTAGGGACTAGTAAAGCGCTATATAAATACAGGCCATTTACCATTTACATCATTATATACCAGCTAGCCAAACTTCAGTAACCCTACAAACGTCACTGCTGTTTAGTTTTCTGTCTTCATTTATGTTGGAAGTGATAGCAGAGCTGTACGTCTTCATTTCTTCAGAAATTCCTCAGTCAGAACATCATGTTTAGGGAGAAACTAGCGAGCTAACTTCAAACTTGGTTAAATTTAATAAATTCTGTTTTCATGGGTACCTGGATGTTGAACTTAATTGTTACACCTGGTAGAGCAGAACGCTGATCATTTTATTACAGATGAAAGAATTTGGACAGTTTGTAACTCTCAGTGTTGCGCCAGTGTTCGTTTGACTTTGGGACCTGAAGCGGAGTTTGGACCCGGAAACGGCTAATGATGTCAGACTTAAAGACTGGATATTTGAGCTGTCTGATTTTAACATTAACCTAAACCTAGCCAATTAGAAAAGTAAACTAATATCAAGAAGCCATGATTATGATGATATATGTGTATGTAGATAATTACATTTTTACATTTAATGGCTCCATTTTCCCTCTTTGTTCCTACCATATCTACATTGTTACATGTGTACTGTGAGTCAGACGCTAGCTAGCTAGCTTTACCTTGGAATGACGCAAGCCAAGAAAACTAGCTAGCTTGTTGTAATTTACAGTTGGCATATTTTTGGACAAGAAACAAAGTTAACCAATTAGAGAAAACTTGGGAAAAATCAATTGATATGTGTGTATATATAATATGTTCTTAAAAAGAAGGGCAGAGTAGCTCATCGACAGCAAAAGGCCTGAAAGACCACAGAAAACAAAAGTGACATTATCAAGGAGGTACATGCATAAAGTCTTCAATCAAGAGACGCCTTCATGAATGGAAATTTAAAAGATTTATACCAAGTTGCAAACCTTTGGTTACACCGAAGAATAAAAAGGTCAGATTAGAAAATGTTTGCCAGAAAACATCTAAAAGAGGCTCTTTGGAAAGATGAATTTAAGAATAACTTGAAAGATTAACAGAAAGATGGGAAGAGAAAAAAAGGCAAAAGAGAGAAACAGCTGGTGATGTGAAGCACACCACATTATCCATCTAACACGGAGCACGCAGCGTGCCCTGTTCTGCTTCTTTATTAAAAAACAGAGAAGGAGCGAAAGGAGAGAGCGAGGTCGGTCGTGTTTTCAGTGCACGGTGGTGGATAAATGTACATTTTGCATGTCTGTGTCGGGGCGTAATAGATGTAGATAATGGAGAATATGACAAATTGATAATAACTGGGAAACCATTTGCGTTTAACTATGACAGACTGAGTAACTCACGCGCAGTGGCTGCAGTATCACATTTACAGACACATGCAAACACAAATTCAGGAGAAAACAGCTGTCCTGTCTGTGAAAGCACAGGAACTCTTCAAGGATGGACTCAATGATGTTAATGATGTCAGAGAGCGGTTACCTAGCAACACACCATATGTCGTCAGGCCAAGTGCGTTACGATTATAAAGAGGGAAAACACAGCCACACACTCATGCTCAAGTATCGTCATTAATGTGTAGCTCAGTTATACACACAACCTTACCCACACACATACGTCCTCCCAGACTCATGTGTCATCTGATGAATAGCATTCATCTACCAAGGGGGGTGAAGAGATGGATGATGGGAAAATTCTGGCCCTTTGACATCGTGACCTGCTGCACGGTGGCTGTGTGAGTGGAAATGAGCATGTAAAAAAATGGATTTAATGACTTTACCAACCATTTTAAACACATGTCACAGAAAAAGAAGTTATTGGTCATTAAAACACATTTACCAAGAATTCAGTTTTCAGGTGATGGTGGTTACAAAGGACATCAAGGAGGGAATCAAAGCTTTAAGAAAATCTATCTGGTAATTTTCCATATTCAGCCTTCTATGTGCCTCCTTTCCAATGTTTGTGAGAAATAAAAACAGCCAGTACCTAACAGATTATAAAGCTCCAGCACACCCACCCACTCATGCACATATGTTTATCTTGTTAACTAATTGATGCTTCTACATACTGAGATTGGAATTCAGCTGAGAAAACGGTGTGATTAGAATAATTGAAAGGGGATGCTGCTGCTTCTGCTGCTGCCTTGTGCAGCTCTGTTGAAATGCAGCCGACTGGAGTCAGCTTTTATTTTGGTAAATCACCAACTCTGCATTTGCACCAATCCCTGGTGGGTCACTAACTCCCTAAGCGCCTTCCAGTTTATACTAAAACTTATACTGAACCCACCCTGATTGGGTGCTGGTGCAGCACAACCTTGACTGAATGCTGACTCCACTCCACTGCACCAAAGATGTTGCATAAGCAAGCCCCTTTGTTCCAATGGGCTAAACTTTATCATGATTAGACACCAGGTAAAGGCAACACAAGTGCAAGCTGTGTATCCTTTATTTAGCTGGTTATAATGACAGAAATTCTGCTACTTATGAATATCTGTTTAAAATAATATATTTAAAAATTTGTTTGTGTGTTCAGGAGATGACCCATTCCTGGCCTCCTCCACTAACAGCCATACACACTCCTGGGAAAGCTGATCAGACCAAATTTCCCATCCCAAACAAGGTTAGTATGCTTTTTCTTCTACTACACCCAAAACCTTTCATCACTAAATTCAAAGTGGCTCACATTAATCCGTAATAGTGTACATTCTCTCCGAATGACACGCCTGCTGATGCATGCTTGCTTCAAAGTTGTTATCATGTTCTTGGGCCTTGATCATTTTCACTTTAAGCGTGAGTCAGCGAGCGGTGGAAAAAGATGCAATGCAGTCGTGAAAAACCTTTACTTATACTGTGACACTTATTGGAGGGGCGCAGTAACACTAACTGCAGTCTGTCACTGAAAATCTTCAGTCTGCTCATTAGCTCTGATTCACAAATTTACTGCAGCAGTGATGCTGGGATAGAATCACATTACTGTTGGCTCATTCTGCACAGTGGCACAAATGACAGCCAATGAAATTACTGTGTTAAGGTTTATTAACACATAGTGAGTGAAGGGGAAACTCCCAGTGCATCATGGGAATCCCCCAGCAGCCTACACCTGTTGCAGCATAACTAAGGGAGGATTCAGGGTCACCTGGTCCAGCCCTAACTATATGCTTTATCAAAAAGGAAAGTTTGATGCCTAATCTTAAAAGTAGAGATATTTATTTATTTATTTATATTTAAAATCATCTATCAAGTTGTCAGATCAGCCATAATAAAAAAAAAGGTTTCCACATGTTAAACAACACCTTTGGTTTTTGTTGGTATAAATTGTAAGAATCATAGTTTCTCATTTTGTTCGGCTTTTTGTCAGATTTTTACCAATAAATCATTAAGTTGATGCACAAGTTGTGGATGAAAGGCAAATTTTAATGGATTGCTAACGTGACCCCGCTCTGCACCCCTACAAAGTTTTATCATAATTAATTCAAAAAGTTTTGGAGCTATCATGTTTACAGACAGACTGAAAGTCTACCAAAATCATCACCTCGTTGGCGGCAGTAATAAAAAAGTATTTTCAAGTAACATCAGCAAATCAGGCGAATTTCAAAGTTTCCACCTAATCACTGTAATTAAACTTACTGACAGTTTAATGCAAAGTTATTCACTTTGCAACAAAATACTTTCTTATTAACTTAGCTATTACCGTCTATTCTTACTGTCCCTTAACATGTTTAATCCCTCAGTCAGGAAAAGAGCAAAACAGTCTGAAAAGACTTTGTTCCACCGCTGACACGGCGTGGTCTTCCTTACTTTGTGAAGCAGAGGACCGCAGGTGAACACCGCTAATAAGCACCAACGGCGTCCTCTGTGTTTGACTCACCAGTTCAATTATCTCTCAGAGCTCAAGACAGCCAGCCTGTAATCAACAGAACAAATTCATCCGTCGAATAAAAAAAGAAAAAAGTTGAGGATCTGCAGATCACTTAGACTTTAGAAATGAATAAATAAGATAAAAACTACTTCAAGTTGAACGCTTTTCCACTTTATCGTTTAATCGTTCATCAAAAACAAGAAAACTGAGTGTGTATTTAACAGGAACAGTGATAACAGCCACAGCTGAAGAGTCAAGGAAACAAAGATCACCTACAGAAATGTCATCAGCAAAATAACTCTGTATCCTCACCTGCACTGTTTGTCTGTCATGTTTGAAAAGTGACGTTCAGGCACAATAAAAGCAGACTGAAGATTTCAGAAGATCGATGTTCAAAGTTTCACCCGCCGCTACAAAAAAGGGAAGATTTACGACGCCTTGTAATATAAATATCTAGAAGATTTGTCACATTAAAAGAAGCAGCATTTGAACATTTATCTCTGAGGTGACGATAACAATTCTCCCTGAAACAGCAGACAGATTTTCTTTGCCTCATGCTTTTATGAATTACTCTTAATATGCAAAGTGCCTCATTGGTGTTGGTGTGAGGTGAAGTAGGAATGTAAACACAGAGGCAGTAAGTCTGACTGAGTACTTAATGAATTAGGAAGGACTGTTGTGGCGCCTTCAGCCTCCAGCCTCACACTAATCCTGCGTCACAGTGAGTTTTAAGAATGAGGAGGAGCGTCGACGCGGGGAGATGAGAGGCTCTGAATTCTGTGTAATGGCATCCTTGTGCTGCTGTGAAATCAATAATGACATCTGTTGGTTTATTCATTCAACTCGTCTCCCTCTGGCTTTCTCTTTCCTTCTCTCCCGCTCTCTAGGAGTCACAGCATGTGACCTCGGGCTACAACACCCAGAGTAAGTTTTCCCAGCGTAAACACTCACGTATGAGCTCTGCGATAATTAATGCTGCCGAGGCCATTAAAGGCAACGCCACCCAGGAGGAATGTGAGAAAGGCAGCTGACGTTGAAATGAAATCATTGCCACGGGAGGAGGGTAGTCGGAAAAACCTTTGCTTTTAACTTCCTGGGTTCATCTGAACAAGTAATCAGACAAACGTGATGAGTGGAAATCGGGGGCTTGTGTTTGAACTGACAGCATCACATTAGAGTAGATTAATGAGGGTAAAAGGTTCTGTCACAGTGTATATTAATTCATGCATAACATTTAAAAAGTAGCTCTTTCTTGAAAATGCGTCCACACGGCAGCAGTTGTATGATCTCCTGCGTTTTCTGTCATATAAATACTGTTAGAGGATTGATGTTAACCTCAACCGAAGTTTAGACAGTGAGGTCAACATATGCACAAACAATCACGCTGCTTTAAAAGCTCTTCAGACTCACTTTAAATGCTGAGTTTGAGGTTTTTCCCCCCTATTATTGGCTCTGTGTGATGTCAGGAAGCAGGGATGGCCTTATATGGTCATAGCACAGCTCTAGCTAACAAAACAGAAGCCCCACCCACCTGCTGCTTTGTCATTCATTTCTCAAATGAATGACTGAGCCAGTCAGAAGAAAGATGTTTTAAGTTAAGGTCATTCTTTTAGCCAGTGAGCTCAGTGACACAAACATGTTGACAACCCCCCTGGCAACCACTGGTATTCTGTAAGTGATTGGCAAGTGGTTGCTGGATGTCACTCGCTTAAATCAGGCACTGTGAGAAGACTGTGCTGCTCCCAGATCCTCCATAGCAGCTGCCAGCAACCTTCAACATCCACTCACAACCGTCTGGGGAATACGGAGGTCCCCTAGCGAGAGGTGGTTGTCAGTTGGCTGCTAACCAACCTGTGGGACCTGGGCAATCGGGCTGTTGTATAACATAAATATGGCTTATTTTAAACTGTGAATCATGTGAATCCTCTAGTATGATTTAGGAAGAAAAATACAGAGCTGGAAATAAGAATAACAGGCCCCTATAAAGATGTTTATACGATTAGATATCTAAAAACCTGTGTTGGTGGTGGAAGTTGCACAAAGTAATAGATTAAATTGTTGATAAGTCAGCCAGGTGGGCCGGAGTAATTTACATATCTAGATCTGGGGCGATTGTGGCTCAAGAGTTGGGAGTTCGCCTTGTAATTGGAAGGTTGCTGTTTCGAGCCTCGGCTTGGACAGTCTCAGTCGTTGTGTCCTTGGGCAAGACACTTCACCCGTTGCCTACTGGTAGTGGTCAGAGGGCCTGGTGGCGCCAGTGTCCGGCAGCCTCCCCTCTGTCAGTGCGCCCCAGGGTGGCTGTGGCTACAATGTGTGAATGGGTGGAGGACTGGATGTGTAAAGCGCTTTGGGGTCCATAGGGACTAGTATAAAGCGCTATACAAATACAGGCCATTTACCATTTTATCTGATCACATTCCAGGCTGATTTGAGATAATGAGACAATAATTAAAACAAGGTGTTAATGCTAACAATCAGATGTGATTATGTAGATAATGCGTCCAAATGCAGATTGCATATCAGAACCAGGTGTAAAAAGCTTTGATTCCTAAGACCTTATGGATATACCGCATATTTACAGATAACACGTCTGGTTAATGGTGATGGTGTTAGAGGTTGAAAAACACCTTAAATACAGTTTTCTATTTCACCGGTGGCCTCTGGGCTCCTGTGTTTGTGTGTGTTCTTCCATCGGTTGAGACACCTCTGAAACCACAAAATAGGTCATTATGAATCAGTCAGAATAAAGCAACACGCCATACCACTGTCAAAAAGCTCCATAGTTGAGTCTAGCTGGTCATCCATTGCATCCGTTTTTAACATACTATCAAGCAGAGAGGAAAAACTGTTTTGCCACAGGTTGATAAAGTCATACAAAAAGCGATTACTTCAGGTTATTGCTGCAAAAGGTGGAAAAGGTGGTTCTACAAGCTACTGAATCATGGGATGCATTTAGTTATTCACAGTCCTGTGGAAACTTTCCTTTTTCACAGGACTCTATGCTAACTTCACCCAGTACTGCATGTAGTACCTTACAGTATTTCCGACTCCCAGGGTTGATCAGATCATGAAAAGCTTTTCTGAGGTTGTTGCTCTTTGTTAAATCCATCTTGTAGTGTTTTGAGTTATTTGTGCCGTATATAAAGCTCAAGCATTTCCCCACTGGCAGGTTTTTCCTCTCTGTGTAAGAAAAGAAGAAATACGACTGACTGGAATATGAAATACAGCAAAAAGGATTCTGTTCACAGACTCCTCTGTATATCCACTTGGAAAATAAATAATCTCCTCGTTTTTGTCAGAGTGTTTCAGTTTGACTTTTATTGCAAAAGGACATTTACTTACTGTTTTTACCCCACAATCCTGTTACCAAAGCAAACAGATACACACTGGAACAGAGTGTCATATTTTCCAATGTGACAGTACTGCTGGTCTACAGTGATGTGAGTTTGGCTTCCTGTCAAACACTAATCAACACACACAGACACAAGTCTTGACACATGCAAAACTGTGATACAGTGATTGAATGTCCTCTGTTGTGTTGCAGAGCGATGTACTGTATCAGCTAACAAGCCTGCTGCTAAACCACCAACTGCACCGCAGAAGTCGTGAGTATATCTCTCTCTTTTTCTCTGACACACACACACACAGAGAAACTGAGAATTTCTGACCTGCTGCTGCTGCTTCTGCTGCGTTTGCCTCAAGGTAAAATTAAACTTGACTCTTGGATGAAATTCACTGGTGGTAGGAGGAGAAAAAAAAGATTGTGTGGATCAGAGCGGGAAAGTGCAGCTACATTAATTTAACGTGAGCCAGGAGCATATTGCAACATCTCTGGCTGCAACCCACTCCACGCATCACTCACAGAGCTGTACGGCAGGATGAGAGTGGAAAGGCACAAATCTCCACTCGTAAGGCCGCGTTATGACCCCGGTTTGCACTGCACGTTTGCTCGCGACGAGCTTAACGAGTCAAAAACGCAAGAGCAAGTGAGAAAGGAAGGATAAAACTGAGTGTCATTACGCTAGCTAGCCAGCTTAGCTCCTGCAGTGGTAACTTAACCCAACTTACCCTGATCTGGATTTGAGGCGGTTCATATTTTAACAGTGTCAGTAAGATCAAACTGCTGCGTCTCTCAGCTCATCTCAAGCCAAGCGCTAACCTCTGGGCATGAAACATCAAGCTAACGTAAAGTGTAAAAAACGTCAGTTTCTCCAGACACCCCTTTAGGCTCTCCAGAGGCAAATCAATCCCCAACTTCACAGATGAAACTGACATGTTTACAGCCTGGTACAAAAAAATCAGTTTTTAACCTTGAAAGTGAATTTCCTCATTTCATGACAACTATATACGGGGTGACTTTTTCCCCTTTTATGACTGACGCTTTGAAAGGCTTGAAAGGTGCCCCAGATGGCAAAAACTGCAGTTCCAATAGGTGCTGCTTGAGGTTTGCTCCAGATAAGTCCCCACAGACTCCCATGTTAAAATGTCCAACATATTTACAGCCGGGTACAAAGATGGTTTTGACTTCTATGGAGAGTTTTTCCCCTGTCATATCAGCTGTGATTATATGATTTTTTTTAATAACTCATCCACTTGCTAGCACCTGCTCATCTGTTGCTTTGAGTCATTAAGCTGGACCTCTCTGCTGTGTTATTGGCTATTCCATGTCTGAAATTGTGTCAAGAAATTGGTGGAGAAGCTTGTTGCAAATAGCAGCGGTTTCCCTAACTCAAACTGAAAAGTGACATATAAGAAAGTCTGAAAACTGTGGAACCAGATAGGAGTCAGAAGTCATGTGACTTGTATACCAACTACCACCTTACCTGCCTCTCCATCCTCTCCATTGTTCTTTCAATCATGGAAAACGACACTAACTGGCAACCTAGTAATCTAAAATGTGAGAAGAAGGGGTGGTCAGTAAATGAGTCAGCAATACATCTGCTAAATATACTTAGACTTTATCCTGAAAGTTGTTTCTTAACTAATTAAACAAGTTAAAATTAAACTCCGTCTATATATGTATCCATCTCTTCTCTTTTGCTTATTCATATCAGGGTTTCATAATTCTTTAAAATAGCTTGCATGTAAAGTTTATCAGCAGCCACAAACTGTTTAATTACACAGAAATTTCTTTTTAAATAAGTCTTTATTATATACAGTATAATGCTGTAACAATGTAGCAAGCTGCTTTTTGCAGAACAAAGAACAAAGCTGTGGAATGTTTGTAGTTTTTTCAACACTTTTTACTGCAGTACACTTTAAATAAAGTTGTCTAACATTTAAAAATAATCACAGACACAGTTGAACGCCAGCTACGCTAACTTTAGCCATTTTGCCAAATACATTTTGAGCTAAGCTAGCTAGCTAGCTAGCTAGCTAATGAAAGCTTGTCATTTCAGCTTTACAAAGCCAGAGATATTAGAAAGGATAAACAAACCACTTGAAAAATCCCAAATAGGAGGAGGAACTCTGTAGTGCCAAAGATGATAATACTATGACCCATATTTTTTCTGTCCTATTCCCTAAAAGTCTAATCTCTGCAGTGCTACTGTAACACCGGGAAAAACAGTGTTTGAAGACTGAGCCACAAATAAAATTATTGCAACAGTGTGTTCGCTGTCTCGTAGCCTTTGAAATGGTGGCTTTGAAGTCAGGGACCAGGTCTGCGACCGTGCTGACCTGTTGCTGTCTTTAATGGTTGCTGTCCTGCACACGCTAGTCTCCTTGTTAAAGATATTTCAGTATCTAAGGAAGAGGATTTTGATCTGCTGTCACACCATATCATATAAAGTAGTACAACTCTCGTGTTACTACATCTAATGAGAGTTTTTAAGTGTCAAGTGTGATGCATTATTTATACACTTTATTAAAAACCTCATTTAAGGGTTAGAGAGTATTTGGTGAGGATGGCGTCAAAAAGCACTCTCCTAAAAAAGACTTGATGGGTAGGAGATGATGCAAAAATCCTGCAACTTAAGAAAAAGTCAAGGCAGTCTTGTAAGTTAGCGGTAATTCAGCTGGATGGTTTGATTAAAGTCCCAGGTCAAAATGTAAGTTCTCATTTCCTTCACTTTAGATATGCAGTTAAATAGTTAATTATATCTCCATTAGGATGAAGTCTGTGGGAGCTGCAGTGCTTTCTGTGCCGTTTTATGCTAAGCTTTCAAAGCTGATAAGCCCTTTCCTGTTGATTACTCATGTATACCCCACAGTGCAATTTTTTCCCCAATCTTGTATTCAAACATAAATGCTGCTTTGTTTATTAGGGTGAAATAATTGTTATTGGTTAAAAACAATGCCTAGTTTACTGCTGCCATTAGGCCATTCTCTGTTTTCACTGTGATGCTCAACAGGCGTAAAATGTTCTCGATAATGAATAGGCCTACCTCGTCTTATTCAACAGTAAATGAGCTGTTTAGGCTAATTGCTATATTCTTTGCTGAATGTTTACTATGTCTGGCTTTACAGAAAACTCATCCAGCTGTAATCCTTCTCCAGGCTCAGTACCTTAATGCCCAATAAGAAAAACACAGTGAATTCTGCTGTTTCATTATAGTCGATAGAGCAGTGAGTAAGAAGTTTTGTGACACTGTGATCCAATCACATGATATTCATTTAGGCAAATGCATGAAAAAGCCTCCTTTAGTGAACCAGTTTTTGAGCTTTGCTGGCTCAGAAACACAGATAACACCTTGGTTAGTGTCTGTGAAGGTTCTCAGTCATCCAGGTCATTGTAGTCAAAGGAACTTTCAAGGAAAAGCGTCTGGACTTCTTTAAGTTGTTTGAAGACATTTCACCTCTCATCCGAGAAGCTTCTTCAGTTCTAAGGTCAAATGGCGGAGAGTCCCAGATTTAAACCCAGTGGGAGTTTCCCCCTTAAGAGGGACAAAGAACCCCCTGATCTCTCACCCGAAACCCTGGCTGATTGGGACCCACACCCATTTTCACACCTTGGCTGATGTGATTAGAGGATCATCAGGGGGTCCTTTGTCCCTCTTTGGGGGGAAACTCCCACTGGGTTTAAATCTGGGAGTCTCCGCCATTTGATCTTAGAACTGAAGAGGCTTCTTGGATGAGAGGTGAAACGTCTTCAAGCAACTTAAAGAAGTCCAGACGCTTTTCTTTGAAAGCTCCTTTGACCACCTTGGTTAGGGTGCATTTGTCAACAAAAAGCGCTTTGTATAAAATAAAATATAATGCTAAAAAACGCTTAAAGACTTTTTACTGCAGTACACTTTAAGTAAAGTTGTCTGACACTTAAAAAATAAGTCACAGACACAGTTGAACCCCACTTATGCTAACTTGAGCCATTTTGCCAAATACATTTTGAGCTAAGCTAGCTAGCTAGTTAGCGAGAGCTAATGAAAGCTTGTCATTTCAGCTTTACAAAGCCAGAGACATTAGAAAGGATAAACAAACCACTTGAAGAATCCCAAATAGGAGGAGGAACTCTAAAGTGCCAAAAATGCCAGTTAAATAAGTTTACAGCAAAAATCATTACCAGTTTCTTTACAGGTAGAACACAAACCCCTACATTATCATTGGAAAAGTGCTACCTTTGGTGTCCAGCAATCATTAACCATAAAACTGGAGTCCAGGTGGTGGTATTACTACGCAGGTAAAGTCTAAAATAGCAGCCTGCCAAAACCTTCCTCAACATTTGTTTTTAAAATGCAGTTATTAATAATAATAAGAAGAAATACTTTATCGCAGTCAAAACATGAAAAACAAGATTAAAAACATATCTAATATCAATATCAGAAAAAAAAATAGTTCAGAAAGATAAAAGATTATACCAAAGAAGAAACTCAATCAGATAGAAAATGCAAAAAGGTGAATTCATAAATCTAAACCTGATACAGGAAGTAGCTTAAAGCTAAAATGAAGCAGGTGTTGTTGCATTACGTGGTAGAGATTTTTTTTCTACCATGTACAGTAAGTAATCACGGTGTTAATCATTCACAGCTAACGTTTTGCTTAAAAGACAACAAACTATGACCCAAATTAGTTTACAGTTTCAGTGATCAGCTGTATAAACCTCGGATTTTGAATCTCAGGGACCTCGACCTCCAGGTCAGAGGTCAAGTTTTCTGAAAGTCTTGCGAATGTGATGAAGAAGACATAATCTTAACTCTGACAGTGAACTTATGCTAAGACGATGAACACGTTAGCGTACCGTTATCCGTCCACTCCATCCAACTTCCACTTTACGCACTGTTTTGGTCTCCGGAGGGAAAACTGTGGCTCTTTATCTGCTGAGCGCTACGCTGTGCTCCAGGGAGACGAGTGTCCAGGCAACCGTGTGTACATTTAGATTTGCAGGGTGAGCAGATGCACATGTGGAAGTATTGAGTAATTAGCTTAGCGTGGCTTTGATTGTGGCTCCTCCTCGAGTGATGGAGCTCTGGTAGCGCTGAACTTTTACCAATAAAAGGACTCAATTTTATAAAGGCAATTAAGAGCATCTGCACCTAGCAGAAATGTGATGTTCTGCTTTCTAAGCTCTGCATGTCATGGATGCTTTAGTCCATAACTCATTTATATCTGAGTGCGTCTGTCCTCCTTATTCTCTCTTGTGCATTTTATTCATTTCCCTGCCATGCTTCCCTTCCTCGCTCTCTCTCCCTCTCTCTCTATTCAGCCTGCATCTCCCTCTCTTTCAGTCGCTGCCACCACCACTCGCTCCCCTTCACTTCCCCATCATTATCATCTCCATCTCACTCACTATCTCTCTCTCTCCATCTGTCCCTTCTTATGAAATAAAATATGAATCCATTATTCATTCATTCAAACATATCTATCATCGCCGTGTGCAGCGCCGTGCCCCTTATCTGCAAAGCTTTTTCTTATTGTGCTTCGGTTATTCACGACTCATACAGCCCCATCTGAAAACACCACAACACTGGGGAGTATTTTTTAGCGGTGCAAGCACTGACAAGAGTGGTTCGTGAGGCAGTAAAAATCCCTTTAGGGGATTCTCCTGTCATAACAATAGCAGTGCAAGCTTAAAATAACAGTAGTTTGTGTGGAGGGTTTATATAAAGCAATAAAACATGGGAACTTGCCAATCCACAGCACATAAATACTGAATAATTTGTGTGGTAAGGAGCAGGTGATGCTGTGAGGGAGGTCATGTTATCGACTGCGCCTTATATATCTCTTTCATTGGAGCTGTATTGTTAGCAGTTGATCTCTCGCACGGGGAGAGCAAAGCAAACACGAGAATAGGAGAAACAGGGCAGCGACCAGGTTCTTTTTCCAATTAGAAACCTCTTTAAAAAATCAGCGTGCAATCGTGATGAAGGGCCCGTGTCTGCCGAGCACCTCCTCTTTTGTTTCCAAGAAATTCTTGGCCGTAGGTCAGCAGTTGTCAGACAGAAAGTTTCCAGGTGAAAAAACAATCCCTGAGCTCTAAAAGCTGAACATCTGGTAGGTTTTTAGCTGTGAATGTCCGCTTCCTCATTCCCCAACATGAACCACCAGCTCGCTGCTTTTTTTTGCTGTGTAATTAATCCGTTGACCAAAAAAAAGGCTCTTGAAAGGGAATCGCAGATCACAACTTGCCATAATCGAACTAATGCAAGCAGACAGGAGGTCACGGCCGCAATAACACGTGTCTCTGTGTCTCTGTGCAGAATGTTGGAGGATGACCTGAAGATCAGCAGCGACGAGGAAGAGGCCGAACAACAGGTGAGCTCCCTCTGCTGTCCGTCCTCTTATTCAGCTGCTGCATATGATCCCTCGCTCCGGCTTCTCCTCCATCTGTCCTTCAGCGTTTCATCTACTAGCATAGCACCCAGTAAATTCAGCTGTGGTTGGGTCACATTTGTTAATTCATTCATCTGGGAGTTGTCAGTGTTTCTGAAAGCATAATTCGTCCTCATTTTTCCTTCCATTTGTCACTTAATGTCTTGTATTACAGTAGCTTAAAAGATAGATACTTAGAAACTTGCATCAGCTTTGACAGTGGACTCCATATGAAGGATACTGAGCCCCCAAAGTGCCCACATACTCAAAGACTTACTTTAAGTAATAGGATCACATGTAAATCTTCCTATGAGTTACATGAGTACACTGTAAAATGTTAGATTTAATGGAATTGACTGGTTTGCATTCAGTTTATATCAAGCGCTTTTCTTTAACCATTCATTATATGGATAAATGAACCTTTGATTTTATATATTGCAGTTGCATTTTCCTCAAAATGATTGCTTCCTGTTTATGAAGCATTAAATAAAAATCAGAAGGAGTAACACTGTTTATAGGTGCTGGATGTCAGTGCCGTGCCCAGAGTTATTTTGTTCTTCATGAATGACACGGCAAAGTCGGGTCATGTCATCTGGACCAAGACGCAGGACACGGAGGGAGACAAAACACAAGTTTAAACAAAACACGAGCCGTTTATTGAGGCTGATTAGCATGAATACAAAAAAAAAAGCAAAAGGCGAAGCGGGGCAAAAACTAAACTAAAACCTAAACTGGAAAAAAAATAGAATTTTTGATGACTGTGACAAAGACATGAATATGACGAATAAACACGAACACGAAACTTGAGCACAACCTGAACAGAATCACGAATGACCTGAAACTTGACATGAAGGGAAGAAAACAGACGACCTGACAAAGACTGAATGGACCACACAGACTAAATACACACAAGAGGTGATCAGGGAAAGTGGAAAGACCTGGGGACACAGCTGACACAAATCAACATAATGACACCGCAGGGGAGGTAAAACAAGAGACACCTGACTCTTCAAAATAAAACAGGAAACACTGAGAGACGCAGACATGACAACTCAGGCTTGACAGCATGAAACACGCAGACAAGAAACACACGACAACTAACACAGAAGGCCTGAGTGGAAACGTAACCCAAACTTAACATTATCTCATGAGCAGAGATGGGCAGTAACATTTTACAATTAACTGTAATCTGATTACTTCTTTCAAGTAACAATTAATGTTATGGATTACTATTGCAAAATAAGTTAGATTACTGTTACTTTCCTGTAAGCACGCTACGTTACTAAACCGTGATTTTGTTCGTGAGAGCGTCTAATGATAATGACGTTCGAGTGTGCGACGTCCGTGGCAGCAACAGACGTGTGCAGCTCAACAATGGATAATATGGAGTGCAGGAGAGAGTACGACCATGCAGCATTAAAAATGTGGACGGACTTATAGTACTTTACGGTTTATTGCGTAAAAAGTGATTAAAAACATTAGTGTCCGCCGTACACAAACTTCTTTCTGCAGTGAAAAATGTAACTTCAAATCTTATATGCTGGAATATGCAGAAAATAGGTTTAAATGTTAAAGAATTTCTTCAAGTCAAAGACTGTTGCATATAATTCAATTTTTACTTGATGCAATGTGCATAACATTAAAAATTTTAAACTAATTAAACAATTTTAAAAAGAGAATTTTTTGAAAAATAACTAAGAAACTATGTAACTAATTACTTTTCAAAATAAGTAATCAGTAGTGTAACAGGATTACTTTGTTGGAGAAGTAATCAGTTATAAGTAACTAATTACTTTTTCAAGTAACTTGAACAACACTGCTCATGACTATTACAAAATAACTTAACTCTACCCTTTCTTATGGAGAACACGTGATTTTAACATAATATTAACATAAGAAATCAACAATACACGAAAAGCTGGGTCACAGATCTGACAGGCCAGGCTCAGGGACGAGGCGCTAAGGAAGACCAAATCTGATTGCAAGCTGCCCCCTCACTGTGATGTCACAAACAGCTGGAAATCAAAGTACAACAAAGCTGGCTACAGGTTTATACTGAAGTCATGCAGGGTGCAGGGGGGAACGACTCAGGTTTTACAGTATAAATACTGGCTGACATTTACACTTTAGAAGAGTCAGTTAGTTGTTGTTATTATTACATAATAACTGTAAGTTTAACCTGACATTTATCTCACACTACACATCAAGACTAACATTGTGCAACTTCATGCTGAAGAAAATGTGCAATATGATCAAAAGCTTCAGGAAAACTAATACATGTAATTTCTGGTGAGATTGTTTATTTTTTCCTATTAAAATGCAATAAACCAAACACAGACATGCAGGAAAGTGAGATGTTCCAGTAGCAGACACGGAGAAAAGAAAGTGAAGGCTCCTCCTGTACTTTATTTATTGACTTTATTGAGTGACTAATTACTGGCGATCTTTTGGTTTTTACTTTAAGTTTTGTAATGAATCATTTAGATGCTAATTTAATTCGTCATTCTGTAATAGCTTTTTAAATTGTTCAATTTATTAAGTGTTTGTAATTAAATACAGTAGGTCAGTTAGTGTTCTGGTGGCTCTGCATGCTAATTCTGGGGCTAAAAAACACCAAGCGTAGTCATTAAAGGTCAGAATGTCAGTATTGGCGGTAGCTTCTCCATCACTGGTCTGATGTTTACAAACCTTGGAGCGGTGATGTGTCCTGTTGTGGGGTGTATCAGCATTTTTTATCCACTATTCACTGACTAAAGAGGTCGGCTTTGTCACTCTGGGAAACTTTGCATATTTGCGTGCGGTCGTCCTGCTCTTCCTGTCTTGTTTTTCAGTATGGAAATTGGCACGGTGGCCCTTTCTCCTCTAATCACTGTCATCACGCGCTAATGATGCCAGAGATGAGTTCAAAGCAGTCAGTGGGGGTCGTGCTGCTGCCCCCTCCCCACTGTGCACACAGATATCAGCGCTCATCAAAGAGTCTGTGAGATGTTTTCTGTTAATGAAGATACCGATTCCTCTCATCCCATTTTAACTGGCCTTCTGATTGTATAATAACCATGATGGTAGATATTATAATTATAAATGATGGCAGGTCATTTATAATGGTTTAAGTTTGTGTAATGTGTGCATTCAGAATTGCACTGAGTGGCAGCATAATTAGAAAAATACTGAACAACTATGGCTTGTTTGGAAAGGTTTCCAGGAGAAAACGTCTTCTCTCTAAAAGAAAAAGAAATGGAATCGCAGCTTAGGTCTGCACACAAACTGTAAGACGTATGGAACAACGTCCTTTGGACAGACAAGACAGAAGTGGAGATGTTTGGCCATCTACGACAGTACAAACACCCCGTCGAGCACGGTGCTGGAGGGGTGATGATTTGGTCTTGTTTTGCAGCCACAGGACCTGGGCACCTTGTAATCATCATATTCTGGAGTCAAATGTGAGGTCGTCTGTCTGACAGTGATCCCAAACACAGCAACAAATCTACAATGATTCAGTCAAAGTCCAGAACTCAACCAAAATATTATAGCGAGACCATAAATAAGATATCCATGAACGATTGTCTGCAAACCTCAGAGTACTGTGAAAAACTTTCTTTTTCATATGATTGTATACATTTGATTGCTTGCATCGTTTGCACTGAGTTTGTATGCATATATTTATCCAATCGAATGAGATTTGGAACAACTAGCGAGTCCTACTTGTCATATACGCCACCTTCAGCCAAAGCTGAAAAATGAAGCCAAGGTAGAAGCGCCAAAAACTGCCGTTCTTGTTGGCCACTCATTCTCCATATGCACAGCTTTATCCATATAAAGAAATAAAGCCTGCTACAAAAACAGTTTGTTCTATAGCTGATTTCCTCCTTCATATTCTCATTGCTTTCTATATTCTTATGGGTTAAAATAAGATGTGTGGCCACTTTGACTGTGCTGACACAGGCGGCTCTACCCTTCTAATGAATGTGGCATCAGTCACACTGAGGCCTTAACTTACGGTGTCCTGAACCAATAAGTGACATCAGCATTTTGTCTTGTTGAACTAGATTCAATTATTTATTTTATCATCAGTCTACACGTAAGACACCATCATTTAATTAATTTCTGAGAAATAACTAAGAAACACCATCTTTGAAAAGGTTTTCCGCTCCTTTAACATGACATTTGGTCTTTCTCAGCTGTTCTTGAGGTACTTCAATAACTTCACGTAAATGTGCCAAAATGACTGGATATAGCAGTCGTAGCTGATAGTGTGTCAGAGTGAATAACAAGCTTTGGGAGTCATGAGCGAATTGACTTTAGACCTGCGAGAGAGAATTGTGTAAAAGCATGGATCTGGGGAAAATTGCAAGTATGTTTCTGCAGTGCTGAAAGTATGATGTTTGAAACAGAAGTTGTTTGGAACTATCAGCAGTTCCCTTGGTTTGAGGTACTAAAGAACCTCCTCGGTTCTAAAAGATCCTGACAGGACGTGGAGGCGGGAGAACATTATAGAAGGTCACAGACAGTCGTATAGAAGATTCCCAAAAGGCTCAAGAATTTCAATTAAATTAAATAAAATGTTATTTATATACCGCCAAATAAAAGAAAACAAAGATTTCAAGATGCTTTGTAAGGCATAGACTCTACAACTGTACAGAGAAAACCCCAACAGTCAGTGGGAAGGAAAAACTCCCTTTTAACAGGAAGAAACCTCCAGCCAGAGCCAGGGTCATGGAGGGGGGGGCATCTGCCGTGACCAGCCGGGGGTGATGGGAGGGAGACAGGATAAAAGAAACACCAAAAGAAATCTCAGATAACAAGAAGCGAAGATTTGAGGCTGGCGTTGCTGCTAAAGGTGATTTAACGAAGTGTCTGAACACCTTTACGTTAAAACTGGATTTTTCTGTCTTTCTGTATTTAAGAAAAAACGAAAACCTGTTTTACTCAGAATTAATTGAACC